AATACATCTAAGTAAGAAGTTACATGTTTCAAGTTGAAAGCATTTTTATATCCTTATACGTCTCAGCATCGGCATATATCAAATCTTCTATAACTCACAACCAATCAACCATGAGAGATCGCGCTATTTCCTCAGAGTGCATCCATTCAGGGAAGTAATACGTTCACACTCGCCCTATTACCCGTATGACATAATGGAACCTCCAACTGATTGGATGAATTTCTATAGCGACCAAAAAATCTCTATAAATCGCGATCAATTTATTTTACGCTCATTCAGGAGATTTTCCAAAATACGCTATTGTGATTATTGATAGAGCATTGAATAAAGATTGGCTTTTGGGAGCTGACTTAACATTATGATTGTAGCAGTTTTTTTTGTATAAGGATTGCTTTGTTCGTATAACGACTAATATGATATCTGGACTACCTCTAAAGGTTAATAAAACAAATAAATTTAAACTCTTACAGGGTTTTGTTACACATTTTGTTCAATGAGAATCAAGGCATTTTTATTAAAATTAATTAATTAAGTGATTAAAAGCATTTAATTGTTCTATTAATTGGGATGTACGTAGTATATATACAACAGAATATTATCTTGTTTTCAAATTTTAATTATGTTTTGGATTATTTGGTTAATGACAAATGAAGTTTTAGAAATATAATTATAATATCCAGATTATATTCTAGTAATTCATAATTAAATGCTAAAGATATTTTTCAGTAGTATCTTTCGTTGATGTGGGCATCAGATGAATATTTTAAGAAATACATTATTTAAACAATACTTACACTAACAAAAAGAAACTTCATTAACATATAATATAGGCAGTATTACACGTAGACAGCAACGTAGACACAGGGCTATTATCTGATATTTGTAATTCTATACAATTCGGGTAATATTCTAATTCCGTAAATGTGGATTAAATATCAAAACAATAAAAATCGATGGATTAAATTCAATAACCTGAGAGAGTTGGCAATTTCCCGCGCTTCTATCGAATGGGCAAATAGATTCGTGCCATTCCATTACACTCGATCTGATATTACCAGGCAAATCTAAAACATCAATACCCGTAAATACAAATACGTTTCTACCTTCGACCGTTACTGCAGAATATAGCGAAATAATGTGCTCCCATTTGATACAAAACATTTGATTTTATGTTTAACTTCCTTACTTATATTATTTTTATGTTTCTCGCCTTGATGCTCCCTCTCCATCATTATATCTCGGTGTTAATAGCTGCACTAAGTTAAAAAATGATTTTTTTTTGCACTGATTGGCGTAAATTCTCACGATTAGATAGTTCATCCGTACTGCTATCATCCGAGTCGTGGTATAACAGTAACGTTACCCCACGGCTATGGCAATGGTGCCTTTAGGTTCACCCTGTTTTTTTTTTGGACCCGATAAAGAATAATTGAGGTAAAGATTTATCCATACATTAAAAAAGATAGGTTGTGATATCTTGAGTCTATGATGCGGAGTCTATTCAGTATATTCTATGTTCTTGTTTATAACATTAATAACTAGTTAAGTTACAGTTTTTTTTGCGAATATTTCAATTGATAGACTAATAACTTTGATATTAATTACAAAACATTGAAATTATATCTTGCAAACTAAAATCATCAACAAAAACATAGAACTTTTAACTGGAATAGTAAATTAATTGGGCAGTCTAAAAAGATATTTGGGTACAATAGCAATAGTTAAAACTTTGTGCGCACGCAAAGTTGCAATTTGTTTGTTTTGAATTATACATTTATTTTATAGATAGACTAGAGTTTGATAAGACACACATATTATTATTTATTCAATAAATGAAACCGGCTGAGAATAAATTAATCTTTATTTTTTCCTTATTAAAATTTAATACATTATAATAATCTAGGACAATTCACACAACATCAACTAGTTCCAATTTAATAAGGATAACTTGTGTTATCTGTATTAGACAGCTGATAATTACTTAGATACCTTTTTTGTATGTGGCGCTATGTTTTTGTTGTGGGGTAGGTATACGTTTTTTTTCTGACATGTGGTCAACATTGATTCTGTTTTGTAATGTGTGTAAATTATTGTTTATATTTTTGGTCATTATTGTTGTGTCGACGAGTCAATAAATTCCATTCTATTTTAAATACATACAATATAAAAGTTTCGTACGTCTCGTACGTATATTATTATACGTAATGTTTGTAACGTGCGAGGAATCGAACCCGAGATCATTCGAATGAAAGCGGTGTTGTTGAGGATAACATTTTTGTATCGACTGCTTTTATTATATTTTGACAAATTGTTGCTTTTGATATTTATTGCAATACTAATATTTTATTGTAATAAATATCAAAAGCAACTGTTATTTTTACCAAACTGTTACTAGTATTTCTCCTTCACAATGTATTTTTTAACTTATTATTTCACAATTCCTTATGCTCGAATGGTAATACATTAATTTCACACATTCATTAATTAAATTATAGTTTTATTCTTAAGAGTTAAATTACTTTAAGTTAAATTACTGTCCTAAATGGTTAAATGTGAAGTTTATTGTTACATTGTGCCTTTTCAATAGTTTAATACTTAAATAGAATTGTAGCAGATTTTATTAGAATTGTAGTTGTAAAATGTTTTATCCTCTGGTATCCATAAATCTTGAAATCAAAAGTACCGCGGATCGTAAAGAACTAAGGTAACCACGGTTTACGAGAATGCTGTTGATTGATCGAACACTTATGGCAACTATACTTTGTAGTTAGAAATAGTGCAATATAAGTATATTTTTCGTTTTCGTTTCAATTTGTATCGCCCATGACTAACAAGTGTTAGTCATGGGCGATACAAATTGAAACCACAGATAGACTTTGCGAAAACTTGTCTGCGTGGGTCCTACAGTTTCACCAAGCATCTCCTGCATTGTTTAAGGGTGGGATAGATAGAACCATTACTGGTACATTTTAGTGTGGTACTCCGGAATAGCAACATATGGGTGGTATAGTATGGGTGTCACATGATAACGTGATATCCATCAATTCATGGTGACGATTACCACTTACCATCAAATTGCTTGCAATTCCAATTACATAAAAAAAAATCAATGTCAGTCATAGTTGAAGGCATAATATATACATTAATTAGGCAATACATTAACTGTAAAAATCTAAACAAACCAAAACGATAACCGGTTAGTTTCATAAAATAATATTTATTACAAAACTATAGACACGGGCTTCTATAGTGAATACAGTATTCTTCAAGCGTTACCATTATTTTTATGTTTCTTTACAAGCAAGTCTAGTAAGATATTTCATTACCAAATGAGATAAGGTCTAAAATGTTTTCTGGGTACCAATATTTCATTTGTGAATCATGCGGGCGAGCGAGAGTGATAGCATTTATTTGTGATCATTAATTGTATAACGATTAGGTTTGATTTACATTTAGAATTTAATCAATGTATCATAGCCGGATTTAAATTACCATAAGTAATCAAATTTATACTAATTTTATTATAATTCATTGATTTGATTTTAATAATTTCAGTACGGTAATACCTAAGATTCATTAGGTACGTCACGAGTCTTCTCTGTTGCATAAACTGTCGGCGCTATAACATTTTCTAAGACGTATATAAATATTTATATATAGGTATGTTGTACTAACAAGGAAAATCCTTTACTCCGCAGAATGCATCATGAATTTTTGGTATTTAAAAGCTTTATAGAGTTGTTTTTGTCATTTTTCTTTTTAAATTCTTAAGTAATTGTGTAGGATTTTCCTAGTAAAAAGATTTAGTCTGAACTATAACAATAATATCTGATGAATTTGTTATTATCTCTAAATAAATAACCTAACTAAGTAACTAATATAGAAATAAAATAGGCCCTAATTAAAACGGTTTTACTAACATAAGTAACTTTTTAATTTATTGATTCCCATATAGAATTTTATGTTCATTGTCATTATTTATTGACCACATACTTTACGAAATCCATTATGTTAATCAAATTTAGGACATAATCAACAAGTTAATAGTCAAAATTGAAGGAAATCCCAGGAAAATAGACTAACATATAATATTTTTTTTGTAATCATAGAAATAATTACGATTTTCAAGAGTAATAAACTATAACAAAATCATCTCTACACGATGATATAAATGAAACATAACATGATCAAAGGATCTTTGTGGTGTAACGAACCTACATCGAAATCTAAAAGAAACTCGGTTTCATTACACTATCTGATATGTCAAAAGCAGTCTTGCACACGCATTATCTTAATTAAATGGATATAGCACTAGTGTTTGTTACTGAATGCTCTGTTTGCGAGAGTATTTCGCAAATCACGCTCAGCATCCCGCAGTTTTCCGTATATCCCTTTGTTTCGTGCAACGATTAAAGAGCTAGACTTTCATTCCGTAGCTAGCTTATTTCAGTAAAAGTTGGCCCTTAGCTCTATTTAAGTGTTAATAAATGTTTGTGGGTTAAAATTGTAATCCGACTACATAACTATGAGGTAGGCAGTAAGCTAAATAGTAAATATAATTTCTTTATTTAAGCAGCCTGATGTTAATTCACAAAGCTATTTTTAGTACTAGTAGAAAAATACATAATTATAATAGCTAGGGGAATTATTATCTAATGTCATTTACAAAAGTATTTATAACCTCTGTGACACAAAATTATAAATAATGATAATCTAATACTGTATCTCAAAATATTACTAAAGTTTTTTAGTGCTCTGAGTATTACTACCTAGTACCTTGCATTATTGGAAATGGTAATAGGTTTAATAATTAAATGTTATTGTCAAAAAGTTCTACAGAAAAATAAAAATGACTTCAATCATAATAGACAGAGGATAATTTTGTTTACCAAGCTGGTACGTAAATATTTATCATCACATTCTAAAATTTCATAAAGAGCTTCCTAAATTACTTTAAAACTCCATAAATTATATTTTAATATTATTATAGATTATTAACAATGACTAGTGTTTCGAGAGACGATGATGATCAAGACGAAGCTGATGATTCGTATGAAGATAAGCCGATACAGTGGAGTGATTTAATTTTTCTCCCATTTCACCCTGTTTTCAAGATCATAGTTTTATTCAGCGTCATTCTGAAGACGTCATTGGTATATATTAATTAAAAATAGTACAAAATAAAATAAATTAGAAATGTAATATCCCGCATATTTTTATCGATATATTAATATGTGGATATTGCAATTTCGTTTAAAGTACTGAAAGATATTACCCACGAACCTAATAGTTTAATACTTCCGTTAGGCGATTAAAGGACTGAATAGTAACCTAATTACTAACGGTTTTTAAAAATGGTGTATTGCAAATATTTGAGCAAATATTTCATTTTTGTAAACATAAAAGAAATGTATAAAGTTCGAAGATGGGCATAAAGTAACGACATAAAAATATTTCGCGCGGATTTCAGAAATGTGTTACGAATCCATAATGCACATTTACTTTTAGGGGCCCATACAATCTGTACATCCAATTGTTTACTGCTCCGACGTAATGGATACTAACTGGTTTACATCTATTTTGAAGTACTACTATCTGTATTTGGGTGATTTGCTATACTTCACAGATACCTTACTTCATATTATACACAGGTAAGTCGTCAGTAATATCTTGACAATATTTTTTTATAAACTTCGAATGGCAAACAAGCGTAAAGCCAACGTAATTGTATGTGGTAGGTGTCGTTTAGATACAAGACTTAAAACCACGGACTTCACACCAGCATATGATCCTGTAGAATGCCTCATGCGTACCGATTGCGAACTAAGATATCTCCATTACTTGAAATTATGCTGTTTTATTAAGCCATCAACCGAAATACATCTTATAAGGATAGATGGTTATAACTGAAATGGGTAAAGAAAAGGTAACTTTGTGTATTACTTTTTATTTCCTTTCTAGAAACTATCAAATTAATTATTTCGGTAACTATAGCAGAATAAGAATACAAAATATCAAGTTTGTTATAGGCAAGTCATAGAGAAGGCAATGAGACGTGAATACCTACCAAAATCAGCATTTTTCCTAATACTGGACATGATATCGTTAATACCATGGTTTGAGATTATCAACTCGGATGTATGTCCAAAAGTTCAATTGTGGCCAAATGTCTTAGCTTTCATTGAGTTTGTTATGTAAGTTAAGCTATAGAACACTAGACAAAGATTATATTAGTATTTATTTTAAAAGCATATACTATATAAATATATATAGCTACAATAACAGCTTCATGAACATCCAAAATCAATGATCAAACATAATTTTCTTTAATAAATACTGCACGTAATAGCAGTCACTTGCTAATAGCAAATGACTAAGGCACATAATAATGTGCCTTATTATTTAAAAAGAAGACGCATATTTGTATATTTTGCTTCAAAAACTTATTAGATGGAACCGTTTTCTGTAAGAAGTGGCTTAAGATACAGGTGATGTGTAATCTTAAATTGACTACTTTTATGCATGCAATCAAATATTTACTATAGATTGTGTTTCTTACTAAAATATAATCTTATTTTCTTTACAGCATTTACAGGGTTGTAGAATATTTTTCTTTAGTAACAACTCATTCATTTTGGAAATTGTTGTGCGGTTTCACAATTTTAACCCTAATATGTGTAAACTGTATTTGTTGTTTTTGGTTACTATTGACTGTTGAAGGATTGTGTGCAAATTGTAGGAATGGTATATACGATTGGAGAAAATTTGTTATGCATAAGGTAAACTATCGAAATGTATTTCGTTAAACATTTTCCTTTAATTTTGCGTCATTTAAAGAAGTATTCGAAAGACTACGATTTAGTTTATGATGTTGAAACTCTGTTATTTGTATAGATTGGTCGTAAAGATACTCCTTACAGTAATTTTATTACCTATTGATAATAATGAATTGCTACTCTATGACATTGTAATTTTATATCTTTTATTAACTGCAACGTTAACCTTTCAGCTGAATGAAACTGACGAAGGATATACGACCTATGTTTATGGATATTCATACGTATTGTCTTTTGTTGTAAACATAATATATGATGAAACAAAGCCTTCCACTATAGTAGAATATTTATTTGTGATTATATTTATGATTTGCGGTTATATATTAGACATATGTGTTGTTTTGCCAAAGTTATTTGCTGAATCCATATTATCGCTTAGAAGAATTTGCACATATCATCCGCAAATAGTAAAAATAGTAGGCGAAACTCGTAGGAGGAATCCGGTGCCTGATGCCCATATTAGCGTCAAAAACTTTTACAAACTTATGTGGAACAAACGAAACGGAATTACTTGTATACCTCCTATTATAAGTGAGTTGCCACGATACTTAAGACTGGATATAAGACAAGATCTTGTATGGCCTGTTTTTTATCACAGCCCTTCTTTTAGAAAAACTTCAAATCCACTTAAAAGATGGCTATGTGAATTTATACGGTACGATTACAAGCTACCAGGAGAAAAAATATTTGCTGGACTTCATTGTCACACCAATTTGTATTATCTAAAATCTGGAATTGTACAATTAATGTCCACTGATGATGGCATTACACCTTTAATATCTGTAACAAGTGGAACTATATTTGGAGATATCAGTTTTTTTGTACCTCCTTTAAAAAGAAAAGTAACTGTTCGATGCCTTACTTATTGTGAAGTTCTTTACATATCACGTTACGACATTTTGAAAGGTTTACATAAATATCCACATGATAGAGAAGAAGTTATTAAACTAGCCCAAAATAGGATGAAGCATGCACGGTTATTGTATACGTGCAAGCAACATGTCAAAGGTTTAGATATAACCGAAGACGAAGGTATAGCCTGGATCAAGAGACGTTGGTGGGAAATATCTGATGCAATTGCAAATTTTAGAAAAAAAGGCATCAATAGACCGATAGATAAATATGAGCTTCCAGCAGAAGAAACAATTTACCATTGCGCTAAGTATATTGGACAGTTGGTGCTTTGTAGCGATGCACAGTTACATACAAAGTCGCTATTTACAAAAGATGCATTTCCGTGGCTATTATCACCTGATTCCACATTTGTTCATGTCTGGCAACTTATTGTTTTAACTACAGTTTTTTTTGTTATAATTTTGTATCCTCCTAATATAGTAAGATACGAAATGATGAATTGGTTCACATTTTTTAAATATTGGACTGATTTCATATATGCTACTGATTTATGTATATCTATGTTTACTTCAATAGCTAAACATGATAAATATGAAACTAACTTTATTGGAGTTATGTTTGCTCGCTGCAAGAGCCTCAGTTTTATTTTAGATGTCTTAGCAACTATATGGATAGAAAATATAGTTGTTATTATTGGAATACCAGAATATTACCATGCTAGTCAATTTAATAGATTAATAAAAGTTTACATGTTATTCTGGTCAGACTTGACACCGCATAATTATAACATTACAAGCAACCCAAAGCATAGAATATATTGCAATATGGCTTTAATGCATTTCTCCTTTGCGTACATTGTTGGTCACATTGTTTTTATGCTATCGAAATATATACCTGACCTAACTGTAACTTACTTTTTCGGTCTACATCCTTGTGGAATAGCCCCAAAGATTCGTAATGATAGCAAATGTGATCCAGCAGATACTGATCTTTTTGCTATTGCAATTGGATGGACATTTGAACAATTATTTTTAGAATATTTGCCACATAATTTGGCAGATATTTATGGTGCGATGACAGTCACTTACCTTGGTTTTCTGACTTATATGTTTTGTAGATCTAGATTTATTGCATTTCTTTACTTAAAATATAGAGAGGTAATTAATTACCAATTTTTTGTAACTAACTTGAAGAAATATTACGAACATCATAAAATCCACCCAGATCTTATGAAACGTTTGAACAGATATTTAGATTGTCACTGGAAATATTATAAAGGAATAGATGTGATGCACCCAAATCTATTAAAAGACGAACCTTATGATATATATTGGAAGGTTCAAGGTGAAGTTGCAGAAAAAATAATTAATCAGTCTTTAGCGTTCGATGGTGCTGAATCTTCGCTAGTAAGAGAACTCGCTTATGCTGCAAAATTTTTAATATTGCCGAAAAGTGCTACATTATTTTTATTTGGTAGTACGTGTAAGAATGTTACGTGGATAATTCAGGTTAGCAAAATCGTATTTCTTTTTTGTGGACTCTAGAGATACTGCTCTAATGGTATCGCAAGAATATATAGCATTAATGCATTGCCACGTTAAGCAGCTTACTTTCTAAGCTCTATGTTAATGTTTAGTAAAATCATATTTTAAGATATGTTAGTGAAATTATTGCATGCAGGCATGCAACCTTAATCCTCCAGAATAGCATCGCGTTGTAAGCGGGATACTTCAGGCGTCTCATAAAGACGCCAAGTGATGCCTGTAGTGCTGGTGGTATATACTGATGATGTAGATGTTACTACTTACTAAGAAGTTACCGTTACGTTCTTATAGCATACTCTATATCACTTACAATCAGGTGAGGCTGACTCTCACCTGATTGTAAGTGATTACCGCCGTCCATGAGCATTCGCCACACCATAGGAATTGTAAGTGGATTGCCTGTCTTTTAAAAAGGAACAAGCTCTTTTCTTGAAGGTTTCAATATCGTATCGGTTCAGAACTACCATAGCTTGTGGCGATTCTACAACTTTTCAAGTTATACTGCCAAATTTGATTTAACATAATAAGCATTTACTTAGATAACCTAAATGTAGCGTAAATAAAACTTCATTTATAAATAAACATTTTATCATAGTACCAAACGCTAAACACTGATAAAGTATTCGTACATTTAACTATATTAATTACCCATTTCATATTAACAAAAGGGTTATGTGAAAATCGAGTACCATAACGAAGAAGGGGAGCTACTCAAGACGTTTTATGGGCCTGGGCAAATGGTGTCTGTAACCTCAGTTTTGCTTGGGCAACCCTCGCAACGGACTTATAGTTCGTGCACTGAATGTGAGGTAAAAGTAAAATGTAATTTAAATTAGAAATATTTATGTCTATATTTCAAGTATTGATAGATAATATTTTATGCAAATTTTAATTATTCTTTATAGATTCACTTGTATAACTTATCTGCAATTATTGACTTTAGAGGACAAGTGATATTATAGTGATACATTTTTGCTTTAAATACCTGATATATTTGAATATTTTATGTATCTAATTTGTTTACAAAGCCAACTGTTGATAAATTTCTACATAATTGCAATTATCTTGATGGAAAAATAGCAGTTTATCTGTAAATCTACACAATTTATATCCTTGGTATGATAGGATATATTGACTATAGGCCAAGTTTTTTTATATTCGTGAATTAGTATAATTGTCTGTTTTAGATTTTATACATCAAGCTAGAGGATTTTTTCAATATTATCAAACGTTATCCCAATGAATGGTCGTATTTTCAAAATTGTATACATGAATATAGACCGCTTTTTCAACAGCTATTTCAAGCCAATGTCAAGAAACACAAAGAGGTGCAATATTTTTTAAATGTAATATTTTCGGATTTATAATTGTCTTATATATATATATATGTATTAAGCTAATAATAATTAAGCTGATAATTTAATTTAATTTTAAGTAAGCTGATAATTTACCGTACATATTTACCCCAAAAATAAAAATAAATATGTAACATGATGTTAACTTTAAAATAAGTTACAATAATATTACATAATGTAGAGTTGTTATATACTACTGTAATATACCAACTTTCTTGATTGAACCGCTTTTTAAGTCATCTTCGACGGGTATAGTTCAAAGATATTGTATGCTTACTCAGTTACCATATAGAGAATCTTAATATCAGTTATACATTAATATTAATATAGCTACTCAATATTCTCCTTAGTACCAAGAGAAAATTCGTGATCATATTCTTCATAGACATGGCAATAAACCACTGGTTCGTAAAGAACCGACAGAACAGTTAGGATATGAGGAAGACGTGGTATGGTCGTCATTAAAATCCGATTACTCTCTGCACCCTGAATCTGAGTAAGTAATAATAATAATACTATCTCGTCCCAAGGTAATCAGAGTTTGTGTTATTAGTACTATATAACTTGTAATATAATTAGAAAACAGACTGACGGATACAAATAATTATACTCCATAAATACAAATGTTTGTACCGTGCGAGGAATCGAATCCGCAAACTGGAAGTATGTCTACCTGTTAAACCGCTAGACCAGCTAGGCTGTCATAAGTATTACTTATATAAATATTTTTTAAGTAATGAAATGGCTCAAATTAATATTGTATAGTGACTGTAGGTATAAGTGTAAGAATTCTATATTATAATAAGACTGCCCGACATATCTATACATATATAAAATTGGAGTGTCTGTTTGTAATTGAAATAACCGTTTTTTACTACATGCATATGAATATAAATACGGTACACACACCAAAATAACATTTTTGTCTGTCTGTCTGTTTATTCCAGTTAATCTCTGAAATGACTGGACCGATTTTGACGGGACCTTCTTTGGCAGGTAGCTGATGTAATAAGGAGTAACTTAGGCTACTTTTATTTCGAACAACGACGACGAAGTCGACGAAGTCGCGGGTACAGCTTGTAAACAATAGATATTATTATATTGTTACTACAATATCAGTGACTCCAACTACTTACAATTGTACATCACTATCTACAGATAGTAATCAAACTACAATAAAAAGTATACATCTCAATCTATTATTACATAAATTAAATTATAAGTGGCGTAGGTATATGAATTTTTCAAAAAACACGTTTCCTATATTAATTGATAATTCAGAATCTTTCGTTTTTAAGCTTCATCAAATATTGGATGTTATTTCGTGCTATTACCGTTATAGTATCTATAGCAACTGCATCTTTACAAGGTATGTCTACATATTGCTATGTATTAACACAAAAAAAAATATTCAAGAACGTCGTAGTCTCTTTGATTACTACCCTGACTTAGAGGTCGTAACTTCAAATCTGATCGACTACAGAAAAATCTGTGTGTCAATTAATATTTCTGCCTCCAGTGAAGGAAACACCCAACGAAAAATAATTCAAGAGATTGCGATAGGCACACCTCCTGCCGTTGTAGACTCAAGTAATGTATAGTACATTTCTTTTTTTTTTTTCTTTAGGAGGGAGCGGTGCAGTAATCAAATGGCCATTGACTATTATCAGTATTTTTTGTGACTGTGTTGCATATGTTGATATCATGCTAAAGTTATTCGTAAGTCCACAAACTTTATATGTATTTATCAAGTTTAGTATAATGTTCGAGAGATATGATTCTTTATAGGTAATGTGCATACATTGTTGGTCGGCCTCGGTGGTCTAGCGGTTTAACACACCGCTTTACTTCCGGTGGTCGCGGGTTCGATTCCTCGCACGGTACAAACATTTGAATACATGAGTACAATAGTTTGTATTGATCTGGGTGTTTTCTATGTATATGTATTTACAAAAAAATATATGAGTAATTATATTAGTTATCTAGTACCCACAACACAAGCTCTGTTTACGTTAGGACTTGACGACGCTGTGTGAATGGTTCAGAGATATTATTATTGTCATTATTACAGCAGCCATACTTATATTTTATTTTTTGTAAATGTGTACACTGGGCTTCTACTACTTTTGGCTTCTCGACCAAATACTCCAATAGATTACTGCTATTGAGTAAAAACAACATATGCATGATGACTAGGGCCCTCACAGGACACTGCAAATTGAACAAGCATATGGCTAAGCTAGGCCTATGCACGACAAGTATCTGCAGATTCTGCCAAACTGAAGAGGAAACGCCGCTTCACATCCTATGTGGTTGTAGCCCACTCATGCATAAACGAAATATCTCCTTTGGAAAGTTTACACTCTTTCCCGAGGAGATAAAAACGATCGCTCCTAAGAATATCCTTCAATTCTTGTCCCTGACGGGTCTAGGTAGCGAACTCTGAAAAGGGCGAGCACAATAGATCTATGTAGGTCGCAGTGCTACAGGTGCTACACATCTGACAATAGCCCAAACAACCCAATAAAAAAAAAAAAAATGTGTACACAATATTACTAAAAATACAAGTGAGTGAAAATGCCTACTGTCTGTGATAACACATTCTCGCCATTCCAGTTACCTTACTACAATGAAAAAGGCATTCTAATATACAGTAAACGTAAATGTTTATGGAACTACCTATCGCGAGGATTTTTAATGGACGTCATTGGTGCTTTACCTGTGTTCGAGTTCTTTACGCTCGTAATGACTAAGACGATGTCGAACGATCAAGCTATGTTTATGAATACCGTTTGTAAATTTGCACATTTATATATTTTGACTGGATATTTTAATTATATTGCTGATGCACCGTCCATGAATAGTGGTTATCTGCTGGTTAGTTTATTTAAATAATTAATTTTACAAATAAATTAATTTCAGTCTCATTGCAATACGAACATTACCGATAATGTTCGTTTTGCATTGCAACTGAAATTCATGTAATTAATCTATACATATAAATAAAATTGGAGTGTCTGTTTGTAATATTGAAATAACCGTTTTTTACTACATGCATATGAATATAAATACGGTAAATACCACCAGACCAAAATAACATTTTTTACAATTTTTGTCTGTCTGTCTTTCTGTCAGTTTGTTCCGTAATCCATAAAATCCATAAAATGGCTGAACCGATTTTGACGGGACTTTTTGGCAGGTAGCTGATGTAATAAGGAGTAACTTAGGCTATATTTATTTTAGAAAAATAAAGTTAAATTCCAGGCGGGCGAAGTCGCGGGAACAACTAGTAATGATATAAATATTGTCTGTTATATAATTTATATAACCTGTTACCGGTATAACGGATTGCTATCGCGATTTTCACTAAAGAGGTCATATCATAATTATGTTAACAAAGTCATAGAAATATATATAAATTAGATTGTTTGATGGTGCATTTGTCCATTCTGATCTCAGAAACGACTTAATCGATTGGAATGTCGATTATACTGATAGATTTATTATAGCAAAATATTTACTTTATAATTTCAATTTGTTTATAAATAAAATATCTTATTTACCATAAATTATTAGTGTTAAGACCCTACTACATATATTATTAATGCATACAACACGCGAAAAATGAAAACAACTGGGTACTTTCGTAAATTTATTACAAATATCAGAAGTGCAGAGTGTGTAGTCTAACATTAATTTAGATATATATGTATATAGTGATAGATTACTCATTTACAGATAATTAAATGGCAAATAGTGACGATACTAATAATGCTGGGTGGAAGCCATTATCTGATCAATCATTGTATTGAATTCACGTTTGATGCAAAATACAAGCTTATTCACATGGCTCGTAGAAATTCCTGTTGGATTCCATCATACATGATTTTAGATAAAGAACCAACAGTGCAACAATTGCATGTAGTGAGTATTATATAAATTATTGATTATTACCATTGATAATATCTATGTAATTATGTAGAAAAAAAATCGGCATTCGTTCTATTGTAAAAACAGATTTCTCTGCACATACATATTTATATAATGACTGTTGCCAAAATAAACAGAAAAAAAATAGTAACTAAACAATCTTTAAAAATAGTTATTTATTATGTTAATTTTGATGGTGTTATATGTGTACGTACTAAGTACTTCTACTAATATCAGTTGTTTAGAACCTACTCATATAGGTTCTGAGTTTGGAATGAAACGGCCATAAAATATCTACAATTATTCTAGAAAAAAAGAAGATTATTCTAGAAAAGTATTGTCGGAAAAATAATAGATTTCTACAGTAATACTACACTACAAATCACATGATCTTGCAAAGAATCCGTATCTGCTGTTAAGATACGGATAATTATTGTAATTCTTACTCTAATATCATCTACGAATAATCGTTTTCAACATTAACTATCATCTACGAATAATCTCTTATTCATACAATATTATCATATTCATATTGCGTGGTTACTAATTAAATAAATCAATTTTAATTACATCTTCTCATATTACGTAGTTACAAAAGTAATTAATTGTAATTAATTAATTTTATTTCAATGGTCAGTTGTTTGCCGAAAGCATAAATTTAGCACAATCGGGACTTATGAAAATGAACTTGGGTAAGTTTCGAATAGACCGAGTTAATCTAGGCGTTGGCTTCACTCTGTTCACATTTGGAATTTTGTTTTGGTAAGTGTATATTTGCATTATTTATGTGTTTATGTAGCTGGAATGTAACGGTCTCCTATGTACATGAAAAGGGCCATCGATATTACGCATCGTGCGACTGTACCACAAATGCTTTGGAACTAAGATATCATGCCTCCATAACATAATCATTTATTTAATACACAAAGAAAACTAGTTGATGGTTAATACATTATGTATATATACATATAAGATCAAAAACTTGCAAGAAAATAGTTTATATATAGGAACATACCCTTTTGTGGTAGTATGTGGAATAACTCTATATAGTAACTAATATGATGATGTGAATTGATTTTGATAATGTGAACGGAAGAAGTTGACATTGATTGTTGAATTTCTTATTATATAAATACCGAATTATTTAACTCGTTCTCGTTATGAATATCATAATAAGAAGAGAAATAATCTAAGTTTAAACAAATTTTATCTTAAATACCTTTATACAAAAGTCATTTATTAAATTTACCATTTTCCGAATGCAGATTCAGCCAAGAAACGGTGATATAAATTAAATTCATGTTTCTTCTTTATAAATAACGAGCGACCCGTCTTAGCTTTACACTGATGTATTATAATTCTTTGAATTTATCGACTTCTATACTATAACACTCATGTATTAAACATATAAACCATCCTCTTAAATCACTCCATCTATTGTCAAAAACTGCATTTCTCAAATGGGTAGTCTTATTAAACCGTTGCGTAATTAAAAAAATATAAACGACCAGACAACGACTTTAACTTATGCTATATAAATCATGTATATTTCAGGTATGTAATATGCTATTCCCTAACAATCCTAGTGCTTAGTTCTCGAGGGGATACTTTATATCAACACGGTGTTAGTCAACTGAGGAGATTTTTACAAGCTGAAAGAGTCGACAAAAAACTTATTCACCATGCTATGGCCCATTTTAGTTACTGGTGGATAAGGTAACTGCATTTAAAATATCAGTAATTTTTTGCGCCATCTAATCCCACATTATATAATGCTTTTTGGGTACTAGACAAGTGATAGAAATACTAATATTTATATACATTGTAAATCAATTATACTTATGAATAGAAATGATTGTTATGTAAATAATTTACATTTATAAAATACATTTAAGCGTCCTATTATTGTGGAAGTAGCGACCCGCGACCCGTATTTAATATGAACGTGGATGGGGCCGATCATATTAAATACTTTAAATCATAGTCCACCCTCTCATGACATGTCCATACTAAAAACCCTTTACAAGTAAATTCGTATAACGTTTAATAATTTCCCCTGGGATATCTACAATAACGATTGTCCATCTGAAATATTGTACATTTAGTTATATATTACAAGTCCAATAATGAATTTCGATATTCAAACTTTGTATAAAGAAGCAAACTTGAGTGGAGCGGGGACAGTAATATTCGTATACAAACTACTTCAAACATTACTTCAGTTGTCAAAACTGATATTAGTCTTGGGTCTCGCTCTTGGCTGTTTATTGTCTAGTTCCCTATAGAACAAGATTAGTTTATAATCTTACAATGGAGGTGATCGTAATTGAGAATAACTTAAAATTTATTAACCCATTGCGTATTCATTTTGGTAGATAAAAGATGCAAAATATGTGGCCGGTAAAGATAGCTAGTATATTATATTATATCTATACGTATAGCAAAAACTTTATACACCTTTGTAAAAAAATTCTATTGTATTCTATTATTATTTAAAAATACAACAAAAAAAAATATATATTCATTACACTTACTTAAATCTGGATTTATTATATTTATTATCGGATTACGATCACTCGCTAACCATTACTTAATATAAAAGGAAATAAAATAGGAATGTGAATAGAGAAATGATTTTAATTTTAGAACTAATTTAACTATTATTAATAATGTCCTAAAAACATAAAATTAATAGTGCCCGAATAAAATAGTGTATTATTAAACATTAATTGATTAAGCATTCCACAATTTGTTTTTCCATTGATTTTCAGAACTAAAGGCATCAATATACAAAACTTAATGAATAGGCGTATTGGAGTCGTATTTAGACAAGATTTAAGTTACTACTTCTTTAAAAAGTACGTTTAGATATGTAGATATAAACATTTTAGATTCAATCTGTAATTATAGACTAGTAGTAGGTCTACACTACACGTGACTAGTAGATTTAGCAGTGCCCTGCATCTCTTCCTCGATCGCCGCTTGTGTGGCTACTCTTTGCTCAGTTTTAGTATATTTATTTTGTGTCAATTTTGATTTTATTTTTTTCACAGTTTTAGAATTGTCACGTATATTATTTCACCTTTTCACTGCTATTACTACTCGTGCAATGTATATGTGTATTTGTATGTGTATTTACCATTATTTATCCATTGTTTAATTCATCTCACACATACAGTCCACTGAATTATTGTACACGCTTAATGTTTATATATTAATACAATTTTTCTAGAACGTTTATAGCTTTGGATACTATTATAAACTGTGGAGAATCTCTTAGTCGGCAACTATCCAGTGTTTGTTCTCAAGTGTATTATTTGCCTTCACAAGAGATTGTAAGAGAAATGGACTTAAACCCACAGGTTTTTATTGTCCATAGAGGCAAAGTTAGCATAAGTCAGGGCGAGGAGAAACTGGCTGTTCTCACCAAAGTGAGTATTTTATTCTGTTACTTAACATAAACAGAATGGGTTTATGCAAAGGTCGGGATAACAAAGTGAGGAATGAGTAAAAACAGGATGCTGTTGAATTTTTTGCCAGTTCTTCTCAACTGAAATAACTAGCTGAACTAAATGTTAGTGATTATAGTCATCATTTCGAGTAAAGCTGGACGGCAATCACACAGAAATTACAAGGTGTTACTAATATTATGTTATTTGACTGCTACTGAATTTTTCGTAAAAATATAACGTAATACAACGAATGTTCTGTATGTTTCTATTTGTTTTATTTAACAGGGAGCAATATTTGGTCAGCTTAAAGGCACTGTACCGCGACCAATTCGTATTTCAGCTATTGCCGATGGGTATACAGATATTTTGCAAATACCCGTAAAACAGTTTCATGATTTTATTAGCGATGAGGTAAATATGTAATAAGTTAGTATATTACTAATAGAAAATTTGGCTTTAAACTGAGCACAAATTGAGATAGGGATTGAACATCATCTTAATTATTTGAATCGATATCAATATTATTAATTCAAATATGTCTTTGTTATATTTTTACGACTAAATGGTTGAATATATATATATATATTAATTACGTAGATAGAAATAGATGACGCAAGTATCTTAATATGAATACCTATTACTTATCATTACACAACAATTTACTTATATTACAAAAGCTATAAATAGCTTTTGTAATTAAAGCATATTGAATACCAAACTCTCTTCCTATACTGAAGTTCTATTTGCTATTTTTATTAACCTCATGTTTTTTTTACTCAATCTTTGCCCTACATACTCCGAATCGAAATTTGTCGTGCGTCAGCAGGGTTCTACAGAGCCCAATTAGGGTAAAAAAACTGGCTTAATCCATTCAATCCATTACTGTATTTCGAACTACAATATTTCACACTACTAGGTAAGGGAAACTATAGCTCATAACTATCAATCTGAAGATGACTATATGGCTACAAAGAAACGTTATCACGAAAATCCATATAACACCGTAAGATATATTCTTCGTGGTCGGAAAACTATAAAACTTCCAGTAAGTTCATCCTTTGCATATACTAAAAGTTTTTAAGAATCTTTTTAGTCTCTATTTATTATAATATGCTTGTATAGCAGAAGAGTAGTGATATTTTACATACATTGTTGTATGTATAAGAATCTTTAATATTAATAGAAGGCGACGTATTTACGAAGTAGTCTTATAAATCGTCAGCATGGGAGCTTCAGACGAAATATACTTAATTTTTAATAGTATAATAATATAATAATAATTTTTAGTAGTCAAAATTAAACACCACACCTGTAGTGTGGTAATTCTAGTTTTTGCATTCCGATTGTTTTAGTAACTTTTTGACTATTTAATAGTCAATAGTTACTAAAATATATTATTACTAATATCACTAATATATATTACCACATAATATTTCGTAGTTTGAACACTATACTTGATATACATAGTTTTAACACATGAAGTGAACCAAAGAAAAATGGATTATAGTATAAATATCAACTCTAAATCTCTCCTTTGCAACATTCAAAATTTACAACGTCATTTTCCACTTTTGAACACTTGTTTATTCACAATTAGAACACATGTTCACAGCTGATTCACCTGTCGAGACTTGTTATGTATTTTCCTATTTAAAGCCATGCCACATACATATAAGCTCTAGTTAAGTCCATCGTGAATGTTTTAAATGATTAACCGTTAACCTTACTCAATAATGTATGATGCTTTAATTCTATTACAACAGCTCAAATGTCAAAATAGTTTTTTATATATTATATCTAATGTTTGCTTGTCGTTTGAAGAAACCAGAGCCTGTAAAATTTTTTCACAATAAAAAAGAATATTTTATAAAAATTGGTAAGTTCTTATTTCACAGAGCTCCTCTAATTAATGAATATCGGGTAAAACATATAGTATATACGTTGCCATGTGAACCCAGTCTAAGAGTTTCATTTACGTTAATGAGTAACAGATTTATTTTAAGTGTTTTCGTTAATTTCAATTCCTCGTCACACGTTTTATCTGGGACAGTGTTTTCAAAAGTAAATATGATACCTCGACCTTGACTCTCTCGGGTGCTCTAATTACTTGAAGGACTATTTTAACGAGTGCGTAGTCTGTAACAGTAAATTATGTTTCTAGTAATTTAATACATTTATTATATATTGTAAATCGTAGTGTGCTCTAAATTAAAAAAATAATATACAACTGTTAAGGAATAACAGTTGTATATATTATATATAAACTGAATTCCTTTACAACCATTTGGTTGTAAAGGAATTCAGTTTATAAATAACCAACCTACTTTATAAAACTTACTGTTGTATATATATATACATATATAGATTCTACACAGTTTAAATTAGGTATTACGTCTTGATAAGATAGACAAGGTTACTGGGGTAAAGTTTCTAAAATTTGTTTGCGTGGGCCACCTAATTTCGAAGCTGTATTTCGATAGAAGGATCGAGATAGCAGTGAAATTACAGTGTACTAGGCATGACTCTTAGTCTTATAGAATTGCAATCCATGCACACATGATCACGTAATTTTCATACGTATATAAACACGCTGTTCATGTAGATATGTATAGGCGACTGCTACCAATACAGTACATTAGTACATATATTTTTTTAATGTTTCGATTATACTTTTCGTTTGTATACTTTTTACAATATATAATGTAGGTATTATCATTGCATGTAGTCTTATTACTCGAAATAACAGTAGCATTAGCACAAATATCAATAAATTTAATTAAATGGAATTGTAGATGCATTTTTTTATATTTGAATATAAGTTAATTTTATATTTTTTAAGGTGTACTTTCTTATAATTACAGTGGATGGTACTGCCAATGGAAGCACGTAGTAGGACTTGGTATTCAAAGTGGCTGGCTGTGGCTTGGTTATTTGGACCATTCTCTTCAGCCGTTATTGTTCTCATACTTAATACATTGCCAATAGATTTTAGAAGAAATGTAATTTGGATATTAGTTGCTCTAGATCTTCTGCACTTGGCGCATTTCTTATCAGAATTTTATACCGTAAGACTAGTTACTTTTTTCTTAATAGACTTCAAAGAAGGAAGGTCTGTATTAGATAGAATATTTTGTGTGTATATTAAATTATATTTTTATGATTTATATCTAATATTATTAAGTTATAGCGTTAATGCTATTGGTAATTTAATTAATAAATATCTATTATATACTTTTTAAGATATATTTTTGCAATAAACTTACCGCGTGGTTTATGTCTAGCCACGATTTAGTAACTGTCATGAATACATATACTTATCTTATCATCCTACAATGTTACATCACAAACATATATCGTTAGCACAGACGGGAGGATCATTCTATGCATGCATCATCATTATTTCAATTATCACAAAAACCAAGTTTTTTTTTCCATTTGGTTCCATTTGATTCCATTTGCATCCATTAAGGATGCAAATGGAATGATGCTCGATTTGTTATTTTCATCAGTAGATATTATGTCCTTATGTAGTCTAAGAGTTAATACCTACATAATTTCAGAATTTTATTGCTTATAGATGGAGCTGATGGTCATTGGTGATAAATGCATAAATCGGGTGGTTGGTTTTCGAATGCTAAAGAATTGGATGTTCTATGTTGACGTCTTATCTCTTATATTTCCTATGATAACTTTAGTAACTGGCGATTGGACATATCAGATCGCCAGGTTACTGAGGCTACAATTATTGTATCAGTTCCATAAACATTTTTGTAGAAGTTTTAAGGTAATTTAATTTTTACTATAAACTATAGTAATAAATTTAAAAAAAAAACACTATTATCATATTATGTGACAATATTATTATTGTCATTGTATTATACAACAATATACACAACATAATCTAATCTCAAGTGTTATGGGTACTAGACAACTAATGGATATACATTTTTTTTCTAAATACATAGAAAACACCTAGACCAATAAAACAATCATGCTCATGAATGAATGAATCCAAATGTTTGTACCATGCGAGGAATCGAACTCGCGACCTTCGTAATTTAAGCGGTGTGTTAAACCGCTAGTCTACCGAGGCCGTCATGTCATCAAGAAACAGAAATATAACTACGCTCCTTACCAGGGATAGGAGCGTAATTATATTTCTGTTTCTTGATGAATGACATGACGCCATGTAGTTTTAGGCAATATAGAAGTACCCTAACAGATTGTAAGTAAGTTATCAATTGTTAATAGAAAATATTGCAGCAATATCTAACTTGTAAGAGGGAAAAATATTACAACTTAGTTCTTAAGCAACGCATGAGATGTAAATTCAATCCTTTGACTAAAGAATGCTCTATCTAAAACATTTTAATATGAAATAAAAATAACATTACAGTAAAATTGCTAATGACGTATACATGGACGGATAGCAGAAAAATTGTGAAGAGGCATCTAACATAATGTACAATTTTACAGAGCAAGGCGGCGCCACTTGTGATGAAATTCATAATTTTATTTTTACTACTGCATTCTATGACATGTGGGTGGATATACGTCGCATGTAGGAGTGAGTTTATGTGTTACTTTGTACACACCATTTTTATTTTCAAGCGCACATTGTAACGAGTCATTCATCCTAATTGAAGTCTCTTGTGTTTGCTTAACGTATTCTGTATACGACGTAGAAATTTATATATTTTTGTATGTTTGAATTTTTTGAAGTTTGAACCCAAAATAGTAAAATGGTGCTCCAGATTTGATTTTACCTGTGCGTCAATCAGATTAGCAGTATGCTTATAGTATAGTATACTATTTTTAGCCTCAACTAAGGAAATCTCAATTATAATAATATTGTTTGGAATCCTTCCTTTGCTAAACGATTACTTAAATGACTAACGTGCATGGTAATAGTTGTTCATGTACAGGATTTTCATTTAATGGTACGGGATGCACGGTAGAAGAGTCTGTAATATGCGTACATTTGTTGAACAAAGATATTTTAATTTTATTTAAAAGTTAGACAGATCTATACATGTAAGTACATAATGTAAATATACTGGTTTAAAAAAAGAAAATCAGTGGTATTTTTGTTACCAGTTCTTCTCAATTGTATCTGTATACTGAACTGGACGGTAGGGAAAAAATATTAATACAAAAAACGTGACATTTATAAGCGGCTTAAGTGTCCTAAATGAATAAATTATATTTGATTTGTGATTCTGAGTTACAGTTCCGATTTTTTATAAACCAAGCATAATATTTTATTCTTAATAAATTTGAACTAAACAGATTTAAATATAGATATTATGACTCTTTAATTGGCAGGAAACTTCAGACACCCAATTTATATTTACTCAAATTCTGAAAACAAATTCTATTTGTTTTAAAATAGATTTATAAATAGCCGACGTTGAGGGAGAAAATAGAGATTGTACTTGAATTAACTGTTAAACATTACATATATTTTATTTTAAAAGTTTACTAATTACAATACAAGTAAATTACTGAAAATTGACATTAATAATTGTGGTATAATAGATACTTTTTATAGACCAACGTCATATTTATAATTTATCTAGCTGTTGATTGACATTGTAGAAAAACACGAAACTATGTCACTATATTCGTAACATATTAAATATATTCCTCAATTACTATATTTTAATACAACATAAATTTGGCGACGAGATGTCGTTGGAACGTTTTAATTTTAATATATTTGACAACAATACAGAAGACTGGGATTACTATATACAAAGATTTGAGATCGAGTTACAACTTCATGGGCTTGACGGAACAACATCAGATAGTAATAATAAGAGAAAACAATTACTTCTCTCCCGAATCGGTCCAACATCATTCAAGGTACTTGTGGATTATTTTCGACCGACTCCCGTGACATCGAAAACTTACGAGGAACTTATTAAAGTACTACATGAATATTATGGCAAGAAGACCTACGTTCTCTCCGAACGGTTATCTTTTGCTACAAGATATAGAAACGAAAATGAGACAATTTCACAATTTATACTACAACTTCGTTCACTCGCTGGATACTGTGAATTCGGAAATACACTAGAAGAACGAATTCGAGATCAACTAGTAATCGGCATTAATAACATTACATGGCAACAGGAACTCATCAAAGAACATCCAACGAATGATTCGAAACTTGCTGATATTATCGCTACACTGAACAAACTGGAACAAGCAGAAATACAGAGTCAACGTTTAACAAACAACAATTATACTACTATGGAAACTACTAATGAATCACCGCAAGCTGTAAACAAACTTAACATCAACATCAATAGAAAACCCGGAAAGAAAACAAACATTCCCTCAAAAAAATGTATATTTTGTGGAGGAAAATACCACCAAAATTTGAACGACTGTCCTGCAAAGGGGAAAAGATGCAACGCTTGCAATAAAATGAACCATTTCTCGAGCGTTTGTATAGGTAGTGGTCATTTAAAAATAAACAAGTATAATACAAGACAAGTTTCAATAAAGAAACATCGTACTGATAGCGAAAATGAAGATTCTGATGCTGAGAGCACACACACTCGTGCGGTTGGTTTTCGTAATCCTGCCAGCAAAATTATGATATCGACGAAACTTAACAGTATAGAAGTTGATATGTTATATGACCCTGGGGCAGTACACTCAGTTATTGGCAAATTGTTATGGAAAGCAATTGGTCGACCAACACTAAAAAAATGTAAGAATCTTGTTGCCTACACAGACGTCAAGATCGAGACTCTGGGAATCTGCGACATAACCGTAATGGCCTTTAATAGTGTGAAGATATTGTCAGCCTATGTAACAAAACATAATGACTTACCTTTATTTGGATTAAATTGGTGTTTACAATTCAACCTACCTATGCCACCGGGGGCTCGGCTCTGTAGCATAAAAGAACCCATAACAAAAACAATTCCCCCTATAACAGGACAACATAATAAGGATGAGGTTGAATGTTTACTAAAGGACTTTAAAACACTATTTGATGGGAAATTAGGTACAATTAACTGTCATACTGCCAAGATCCATATTCCTAACAATGTACGTCCTAAGGCTTTCAGACCACGACCAGTTCCATTGGCCCTACAGGACCAAGTCAACGACGAATTACAGCGTTTAGTAAGAGAGGGGTTCTAGAACATATTGATACAATGGTAACGCCGATTGAGTGGGCATCACCTATAGTCATTGCAATTAAATCTAATGGAAACGTACGTATTTGTGCTGATTTCAAAGTAACGATCAACCAGCATGTACAAGTTGATGACTACCCCTTACCAAGGTTTGAGGAAATTACATCCAAATTAGCTGGGGGTCAATTGTTTACAAAAATAGACCTTAAAGACGCCTACCTTCAATTATTGGTACACCCGGACTCCAGGAAGTACTTAACGATCTCAACACACAAGGGTTACTTCCAGTATAAAAGATTACCCTTTGGTATATCTTTTGCACCAGCAGTTTTTCAAAGAATCATGCATCAAATCCTAAGTGGGCTGGATGGTGTTGTATGTTACCTCGATGACATTTTGATAACGGCGGAAAACCGACATGAGCACATAAAACGAGTCAGAACAGTCTTACAAAGGCTACAAGAAGCAGGTATTAAAAGTCAGATAACTAAATGTTTCTGGTTACAGGAGAGTGTAACTTTCCTTGGTCATAAGATTGATAAAAACGGTTTACACCCAACATCGGAACGAGTTGAAGCTATCAAAAAAATGCCAACTCCAATGAACGTGGCCGAATTACGATCCTTTTTGGGTTCCATTACATACTATGGTAGATTTATAGACAATTTACATGTTAGATGTGCACCGTTGTATCGTCATTTGAAGAAGAACCAAAAATGGGATTGGACCAGCGAGGATACCCAAATAACAAACGATCTGAAAAACATTTTAACATCGAACGAAACACTTGTCCACTATGATGAGAAACAGCCTATCTACGTTAGTAGCGATGCCTCTGATAAAGGAATTGGAGCAGTGTTATTTCATAAAATGAATAACATCATGCGTCCAGTCGCATTCGCCTCCAGAACTCTTTCCGAAACAGAACGTCGATACTCAACAATCGACAAAGAGGCATTAGGGATTGTTTATTCAGTAACAAAGTTCCATCAATACCTTTATGGACGAAAATTTACTTTGCTAACAGATCATAAGCCTCTTGAACGTATTTTTAGTCAAGAAAGAGAAACACCCAAAGTCGCAAGCAACCGATTACTTAGATGGGCCATGATCTTAAACAGTTACGAGTACACCATAAATTACCACACGGCTAAGGAGAATACTCCAGCAGATGCACTTTCAAGATTACCGCTGCCAAACTCTGATTTAACTATAGAAGAACGAACAGGGTTACCCCAATTTGCCCATCTCTTACATCTTAGACTGAGTAATATACCCGTAACAAAACAAAAACTTAGAAAAGAGACACTTAACGATATAAACCTTAACAAAATCAAAAACTTCATAACAAATTATTGGCCGGAAAAAAAAGAACTACCGATAGAAATGCATACTTACTTCGAGAAACGAGAACAATTGTCATTTGAAGATGGAATTATCCTGTGGAACGGAAGACTATGTATACCAAAAAAATTACAATCAGCCATACTAGAAATGTTACATGACGGACATAATGGGGTAAATGCTATGCAGTCACTGGCAAGATTGCATGTGTACTGGTCAAACATAGACAAAGATATTCAAAATTTTTCGAAACATTGCAAATTATGCCAATCTTCAAAAACCAACACTAACTCTGCACCGGTGTATCCTTGGGGAGTACCGCCGGAACCATGGCATAGATTACATATAGATTTTGCGGGACCATTTCTCGGGTACATGTGGCTTATAGCAATAGATGCTTATACAAAATGGCTGGAAGTTATACCAATGAAATCAACAACATCAAGAGCAACAATAAGTCGTCTAGACAACATATTCGCCACATTCGGTATTCCGAAATATATAGTTACAGATAATGGCCCTCAATTCATATCAAGCGAATTTAGAAGCTACTGTCAGAGTATTGGCACAACACACATAAAAACAACACCATATCACCCTAGAACTAATGGGTTAGCTGAACGTGCTGTCCGAACATTCAAAGAACGTATGCTTGCCTCGGATAAGAATATTGACATACATGGACGCCTTAACAGAATTCTTCAGGCATACCGGAACACAACCCGACGTTCAACGAACAGAACCCCTTACGAAGCGATGTTTGGAAGAATAATGCGTACTACCTTCGATTTATTGAAACCTAACATCCGAGACGATCTAGAAAGAACGCGATTATATAAGGAGTTGAGACCAACAAACAAAGAAGTTGTCCCACCAACATATAAACTTGGAGATAAGGTTTGGGTAAATAAGCCCTTGACAAAGGGATCAGATCCTGCAATAATAACGAAATGTAATGGACCATACTCTTACGAGGTGGAGTTTTCAAATGGAGTTCGTAGCCGTAAGCATTCCGATCAATTACGTCCAAGATTGAGCGGCAGTCAGGATGATGACCCTACAAGTGCTTACACCCACTACTATAAACGTATAGACACAGAGGATCAATTACAACATGGTGATTATAGAAACCAGTTATCACCGATACCCTCTACGAGCGCGCAACATCCTGAGGGTCCAATAGTGTTTCAAGATGAGGATGCAACTTTTCCGTCGACATCACGTGGCGCCACTGCCACTACCACAACACCGCAGCTGCAAGTGCCACGTCGTTCGCAACGCCAGCGGAAACTACCAGCACGATTAGGTTTATAGAGACTAGAAGCTTTGTTTTCCATTGGGAGGGAGTAATGTGGTATAATAGATACTTTTTATAGACCAACGTCATATTTATAATTTATCTAGCTGTTGATTGACATTGTAGAAAAACACGAAACTATGTCACTATATTCGTAACATATTAAATATATTCCTCAATTACTATATTTTAATACAACAATAATATTAAAATGCACTCATTGAAGGGATAAAAAAAAGATTATGTTGTGTGTTACTTGGAATAAAAAATATTAAGTACTAGTAGGTAATATAATGTTGATAAATATAAATAAACCGGATCGACAACAAGTGACATATCTGGTGTTTCAGGTGTTCATAGGCCACGGTAGCTGTTTTTCATCTCGACGTATGCTTATAGTGGTATAAAAAAATAATTTCCATAGATAATATGACAAATGTAAATGCCTTTGCCTACGAATTGGTTTAGTTTTATGAGCTATTTTAACCAGTTAGAGGGTAGACGGGTACCGAACCGTCTACCCTCTAACTGGTTAACTGGCTCGGGAGTTAGAATCTCGACTTAGGCAGTCAAATTTCGCAAAAATGGTATTGATCAGATAAGTACGGGATTTGTTGGGACGATATATATAATATATAAATAACAGCCATATATATAATAAGATACTTATAATATAACATATATATTACACTATTGTATTTTAATGTTTAGTTATAATGTTAGATTGAAGTTTTCCTCGTTATTTCGCACTTTAATAATCTGTTCTTTAATGTATTCATCAGTTTGATTTATTATATGGTTATGTTATTTTTTGACAGGAACTGATTTTCCTGTACCTGTATTGGATGTACCACCAGACATTAATAAAACTATAGATTATCAAGAGTGGCAAAACCCAAAGGATAGACAAGGAGGTAATGAAAATTTATTTTTTTTGCTAAAAACGACAAAATTGAAAGACCTACCCAGATAATGCTATATATTAATGTACATTTAATTTTTTGCTAGCTATATTAAAATAAATTTCAACTATTTTGAGTATTATTCTATGTATAATTAAATATATTCAATTACATAATTATATAGTAAATTATTTAAATTGCAGGTTGCGCAAGAATAACAAGAAATTTTAATTATGAGAATCAATCAAGAGTGAGTTTTCTGGTACCAAAAAGTTGGCAAGACGATTACGTAGTTGCATTAACATTTATTATACTTCTGCATACACATACTGTTTTGGACACTGTAAGCATTTTTATGAAACATTTTAGATCATGTATGGTTTGTATAAATACAAATTATTGTTAAATATTAATAATTTGACGGCTTCGGTGGTCTAGGTATCCAGTATCGCACGTTAGAAACTTTCGTATCTGCAGTATAATTGTTAATATTAGTCTGGTTATTTAAACATATAAATGTTTTTGGTTTTAGAAAAAAATATACATTTATACATTTCTATCAGTTGTTCAGTACCCATAGAATGAGCTGATTAGTTTGAGACTACATGATAGTTTTGTCCTTGCCTATTATAATTATTCAAAGATAAATATTTGTAATTATTTCCATTTTCTAATAAACCGGTTATAATAGGTTTCGATAGATGCGAATTTTCATTTCATTCAACTAAGGTTACTTTATAGCAGAGTTTCAGTTAAAGAGTGAGATATGTTTGTAAATTACACTGTATGTATGACATTTTATTACTCCGGAACGGAAATGCAAGGTGTCATGGGCCCACATGGCAATGTTATCCGTGGTTTTAATTATGTACATAGGCGTCTTTTCCCACTTGTCATTAGGGTGCTATCAGCTTATTTGTCATACTAATATATAAAAAAAAATATGTTCACGATCACTGTTGTAGTTACAACTACACGTTAATGTAATAAGTCAATGCAGGTATCGAAGGTTGCTATATGGCACACTATTTGTTTGCATAACTTCGCCTTTTCGCGCGTTAAAATTACTTAATTTCAATCATTTGAACTTTAAATAACATTATACTTCTTATGGTTTATTTTAGGTAATGCCACTATCAATAACAGAAATTTATTACAAAGTCTTTATAAATTTCTTCATATATTTGATTGATATATGGCTGATGAGTGTAGCAGTGAGTGCAGTTTACACGACCTACCGGGAACTGTATCAATATGACTACAATGTCTCTAATCTAATATCCTATTTGAAGCATAGTGGATTGTCACCGGTGCTGCTGAAAGCTGTAATGAAGTATACCAAACAGTTATGGAGAAGGCAAAGAGGTAATTTTATATTTAAAATATTTTTCTCTATAAGAATTGTGTAAGAGTGAACTAAGAATATATTTTTGTCAGCAAACAACTATGCCCATTTCTTATTGTTTACTAACTACTCGCCCTGGCTTCGCCCGGGTGTATATGTTTTATACATATAAACATTCCTCTTGAATCACTCTATCTAGTAAGAAAAGCCACGTTAAAATCCGTTGCGTAGTTTTAAAGATTTAAGCATACATATGGACGGACAGACAGCGACAGCCATTTTCTTTTATACTATGTAATAATTTCTCTATCCACCCAAAGGTAGTCCGGAACAGATTGTTCAGCGATAAGACCGTCTTTTGTATTAGTAAATGTATATTTTCTATTTTAATTGTTTTTTGTTCTGTAATTGGTGCAATAAGGCGTATAAATAAAATAAAAATAAATAAATAGGCTTTGACAGGTTTATTATGGTACTGAAATTACTAGATAACTATCTATGGTAAAATTTAGATATATTTTTAAATGCATAAATGTTAGAGAAATTATGGGTATTATATAGATCATATTATATTTTTAATTTTTCGGCTGAAGCACACATAATAAATATTTGGTTTATCCATTGTAAAATCAATTTAGAAATTTTAGTTTTTTAATTGTTAGTCCATCTAAAAAGACCCAGAAAATTCTCAGCATTGTAGAGCTAGTCTAAAAAACATAGTGCCTAATTAAATTCAAAATGTTTTTTGTTACAAATGTGGACTCGTGGACTCTGTTAGCTTATAATGTGCCTAGTCAAATGTGACTTTAAGTGTATTATAATTATGTTCTTGTAATATTTTATTTTTTCTTCTTAGGTAATTGGCTACCAGAATTAGCTCATCAAGCACCAATGTGCCTTCGTGAAGATCTTCTCAGTGCTTTGTATATGTATCACATACAAACCCCGCCATTATTTCGTCTACTGCCTAAATACTTTGCAAGACAACTCGTCGCAAGGGTACAAAGAATTGTGGTTTTTCCTAGTAAGTACATTATTGTAACGCTGTCGGTTTCAAATAAATAAAAAATTGTGTTTTGAAGTGATTTATCATATCAATTATTTATAACTTCCGTGTATATTTTATTTATATTGGTAACCGGGTTCACACGTTTCTAAATGGTTCTGAACAAACTGATGACTTTGAACTACATTTTTAGGTTATCTTTTTTTTTGTCATAAATTAATATTTTTATAGTCCTATTCATTGTTTCAGACAAATGTATTGTACAAGAAGGTGACATATTTTCATGTATTTATTTCATACACGAAGGCGAAGTAGAAAAATGGTTCACCGATTCTAAGTAATATAAAATATATTACAATAATAACATAATATTTTTACTTAACATTATTGTTTAAAAATACTGAGTTTATTATTGTTTTAGTGGTGAAAAGAAGATGACGGCACTACTTTCCTCCAATGGATACTTTGGGTTCATACCTGGTCTTTTTCCAAATACACCGTTTCAATTCACGTATTATGCACGCACGGTATATTATTTTTCAATAATATTTTTTTTCCGGTCAATTAATACAACTCCATTTAGTCCTAGCTTGTGTTATGGTTACTAGACAATTGATATAAATATTTAGATATTTTGTGTAAATACATAGGTACACAATTTAAACACCCAGATCGATACAAAAAACATACTCATGAATACAAATGTTTGAACCGTGCGAGGAATCGAATCCGCAAGCATCGGATGTAAAGCGGTGTGCTAAACCTCTACACCATCGAGGCCTTCCGATTGTCATAAATAGCTATTTAAATACACCAATATAAAAAACGGTATAGCCAGAAGCAAAAGTATATCATTTATATTGAACTTGTTTTGCCACTTATTTATACACATCCCAATTTTTAACCCTACTGCCAAGATCTTACTGCACTGGCTACCTAGTATGTAATGTTATCTTATCTGTGCTAGTGCTACTTTAGTTGAGAAATGGCAAAAATCTCAACGAATTGACTATATAATCGTGGATTACAGTAAAGAATAGGTTATGTTTCGAAAATATTCAAAGTTTAAAATCGAATATAGTTAAGATAATTGAAATACGAGTATAAATGAAATCAATTTTGAACATTACTCACTCAAATAATATATATTTTATGAAAATAAAAGTATATTTTTATTTATGACAGAAAATATACTCAATTAAATGCTGTCGAGAAAATAACAATAGAATGACAGCTGGTTAGCCAAGCGGGATGAACCAAACACGAGTGTCGGGTGCTCTCGTGAGGGTGGTTAGCTAATGAAACGTGAAATTGTTGATATCTTCAGTATATTCGTTTATAAATACAAAATAGAGATAATATTTTGAGAGCATCGTAACCTAGTGATTGACTACTCGGACTTGCATCCAAAAGGTCGTGAATTCAAATCTGGTTGAAACAAAATAGAAACTTTATCACATTATATTACCGAATAACTCTCTTGAAACAAATATCGATTACAAATTTAGTCCGAAGTATAGCGGTATCTTCGCCCCCTGTCACTTTAGTTTCAAAATATACCAAAAGTAATGTATATCAATATCGAGTGTTGCCTTCTCCATGAGGTCGACAATTGATATGTCTCCTGACTACCCTATCTGGAATAACAGTCTAGATTTCCGTAATACAGTGGCAGCCCTAATATTTAGTGGCATCCTCAATCAACTTTCTAAGATAGTGACAACTACAGGCATTTTAAAATAATATAATATGTATAATTTATTTATGTAAATTAATTAATGAAATATTTAATGTCATATCTCATTGTACTAATATATATCTGTGGTTATACAATAGATTTTTTTCTATTTCAGGTTGTGGACTTGGTATACCTCCGTCTCTCTGATTGGCAGGACCTTCTGAATGCTTTCCCCGATGTGAAACAAAAGTTGTATATAGGAGCTAGACAACTAAAAAAGGATATTTTGAAATGATTGTAACTTCACGCTTTCATGTAATGAAGATATTTTAATTTTATACATTGTAATTTTTATGATATTTTTAAATATTTTCATTGACCAATATGATATGGACAATAATAAATATAAGGTATTGAATTTTTATTTCATTTTCATTTAAATGCGTTGTCTTTTGTTCATTCCATGGTGGTGACAAATCAGTATACGTTCACATTACCGATCCTTAAAAACTTTTTTATACCCTTCTTGAAAAACCCCATGCTGGTCTCTAGAGAAAACCTTGGCAGGTAGTTCATTCTACAATATAAGTATACCTATGCGGGAGTAAGCTCCTCAGGATTCGCACTGTCCGAGCCCACTTATGTTCTATTATGTGGTTATGAATTCCCTGTCGAATGATCGGCCTCGGTGATCTAGTGGTTACCTCACTTCTGATGGTCGCGAGTGCAAACATTTGTATTCGTGAGTTTGAATGTTTGTATCAGTCTGTGTATTTTTTATGTATGTATGTACATATTTACAAGAAAACTGTATCTATACATTTGCATCAGTATTACCCATAACACAAGCACTAGCTTGGAATTAGTCGGCGCTGTGTGAATTTTCCTGATATTTTATTAGTGTTTTTAATTATTGTTTGCAAATATACAAACAGCGTATATAGCACTTCGTTATGAGTGACAACGTTGTACCTAATCAACTTCATTAATTATGCTTAGATAATGTATAAAATAAATGGAATTACAATTAAAACAGTGTATATAGGTTGCTTTATTAGTTAATTATGTTTGAAGAATAAAGAAGACGATATTTAATATTTTGATTCTTCTGAATTCGTGCTATGTAGTAATTGGTATTTACACAAATTTCTCTAACTGTAAATATTTACATTTCTTAATAAAAAAAATATATATACAAATTTTAACACACATGTATACACATATAAATCTTCGGACATTAATGTCCTCTATATAACTGTAATAACTGTAAAAGTGATTTGCTCTATTATTAATAATTTCCGTAACGTACGATATACAAGGAATTTTTGATTAAGCATTTGTTTCATATAAATTATTAAACAAAAAAAAACTTCGATAATGTAAACCTTATCTTATATTTATGTTTTTGGATATATTCTATCCGCATTTAATTATTCTATTGCCTATGTTCACCAAGGATATAGTAGGATTCTAATGGTAAAAATATGCATCAATTTTTTTTTCATCAATCAAATTTTTCTTCTTCATAATATTAGTACAGAATTGACAGTGTTTGATTCAAAGGATTGTATATAATATAGAATTAGGACGTATGCGTACATATAAGGTTGAACAACAAAGATAACTATACATATCGTCCGCATCCAGAGAACAATTGAGAAAGTTTATTGGACCTTGCTATTGATATTCTTACGTGAACATGTTGTAGCTGTTGGTAGCCGTTGATGTGCAATGTAACTGCAAGTTAAACATTCAGAACAAACAGTCTGACCGGAGTCTAGTTTTGTTCTGCTATTGTACAATTTGCACGACTGAACGTTGCCAGATAATGTGCAACGTATTTTATATTGAACGTCACATGTTGTAGCTTGTTTTTTGACTATTATGTTATTGATGATTGAATATATATATGAACTCTTACTTTTATATCTTAGATAGACTTATTTTTATAGTTAAATTAGCTGACACGGTAAACGTTGTTTTATTACATAAAGTACATTAATACTTTAATTTATCTGGTAAAACCTAGGCGTTGATGGTAGAAGGGTGAAAATTTTGGTTTGTAGGTATTTATTTTTTAATGTCAAATCAAAAGAATATTTTACTGTAAAAACAAAATTAGGGTGAACCACCCTTATTATGTACCACAAAATTTTATTTAGTAGTATAGAGATCTCGAATAGATCTGAATGCTAAGGATTTATCCTTATCTTCTCGTTCGATTACTTTCATAATATATCATACTATGAAGTGTTGTATTATTTTATCCTATCTTAATTCTATAGGTATTTAGTAACATTCTACGTAAAACATGTTGTTTAAACTCTAGGAAATAATTAACTTCTATTTTGTTATATTATTTTCAATAATAAATCCAGGAAAGTCTGCTCATTGTTTTATTTTAACGAACTGCTCGTTGAGATCCTAAATTTTACAATATTTAATTCTAGCGCTTTATGTATATCTTCACCAAAACTGCATGGATTTAATTTAATACAATTGCAAGTGATTACAAAATAATGTATAAAATATGAAATTATTTGAAATAAAAGATTGAATATAAGAAGAAATAAAAAGAAACGATAATTACTAACTAGACTTTAATAGTTTTATGTCTTGTGAATACAACATAAATGGAAGGCTTAAAGTAATATTCTGAATTAATATATAATGATTTAAAGCACCCGGCACTTTGTGGCATAAAAGGGCAATGTTTTCTATAAATATTCAGAACAGAAAATTGTTTTAGAAATGGTACGAAGAATTTTAAGTGCAGAATGTGGATTCAAAATAGGTTTGTTAGTAATGTAGTTTTTTAAAGTAGGTGCATTGTAATTTCACCTGCTGGTATAGACAAGTGACCATTTGCCACTTGATTAGTCGAATGATCGTTTTATCGATCGAATAAGACGCATGAAAAAGAATTCAGTTATTACTATTACTGTCTTATGGAATCCAATGCATAAATTTATTGAAGAATAACATAAGACAAAAATGTATGGCTACAATTTTATTTAAAAAATTAAAATTGTTCTTACAATGTGTGAAGATCGACTTGACATCATTTTTTTAAAGTCGGTGGATATATGATAAAGATTATATAATTACATACATTGAGTTCATTTACATTAAGGAAATGTTAGTTTTTATGTTATAAATAATATCTTTGTTACGCTACCGTCACATAAATTTGTCGACAAAGACAAGGGTCTTTGTTTAGTGGTTAATCCATCTATCTCCTGTAAAATCTCCCCTAGGGTATATTTTACCGTTTGTTTATCCATTTATCCTGGTAAAAATAACATCCTTATAAGTCTGAGGTAATGTCAGAGAGTAAAATTGAAAAATTCTAGTTCCTTTTCAGATTCGACGCCTTAGGGGTGCAAACGAATAGAGAATACCTGTCTGTTCGAATCTCTTAGAAGCGTTCTAATTTTGAATTAAAATAAAATATCTAATATCTCTTTTTCGAAAATATTTTTAACAGTCTATAGATTTACTATTATTATTACATACATTTACTTCTCAATGTTGAGGGTGGGTCTTTACATAAAAGGAGATTCGTTTCAATCTAATTCAGGTGGCATAGCATAAGGCTTAATTTCAATTTCTTAATTTATACCGGTGTTTCATGTTGTATTAACCTAGTCATCTTTTACATCATGGAGATAAAAGGGAGGATAAAATATTGTTATACTTATTTTGTTACTACATGGACCCCTGAAAGTCGAATAGATAAGGTATTTTTTATAGGATTTGACTCTATGAGCTAATTTAAATTTCTAACTCTTTGGTGTTATAAAGTACGAGTAACATTAACAAACCAATACCAATGGATAGCAGTGCAACTGATGCTTGGCACGTTTGGCGCAAATATTCCCAGCGAAATATAGATATATCTAATGTTTACGTGTACAATAACATCAATAATTGCCTATGCCTCTACATATATAGGCATATCTAGTCTTACAGTTTTCGTTAGAGTAATATTTTTTTTTATATATGTAGAGTTTATATTATGTATGTAATATCGGGTATGCAATTGTAGCCGTCATTTACTAAAATTTATGTATTTCGTTGGTATACATAGATAACGAAAGGAAAGTATTATACATATTGATATTATCTAAAATTGCTCTGCTTTTAGTTTATTTAATATTGGTTTTGCGGCTCGCTGTATCTACGATATAAAAGTTACGATAATGCTTATACTTTCTCCACTAATTAATAAATAAAAAGAGTCTTGATAAAACTAGATACTTAATAAAAAAATATTAATTTATTCCTAAAAAATTTTTTTTTCATGAAGTCGAATGTAGGTACTAGAATTTTTTTCGTATCTCTTTTGTTTAACTAGCTGATAATCCACCTGATGCTAAGTGACGCCCATTGTAGAGCACTCAGATGTCATAATATGTTCATATCGTGTAATTTCATTGCCATATCTAATCTTTAAAGTCCTAACAGCTTACAAGCTAGCTGCTAAGCTGGCCGATGAAATAGATTAGAAAGAGAGGTAACCAGATGACTTTATACAAAGTCTTCCTCACAAAACGCAAAACAAATAAATAAATAAAAAGTCGCATAAAGATTCATACAAGTTAACTACTGCAACGAAGCAGAATTTTCGGTAATTTTATGGAATTAAATTCATTCGAAGCCTCCCTACTCTGGAAAGCCAAAACAATTTAGGATAATTTGCCTTTGAATATCTTATCCAAATAATATTGTGCTATTATCGCCTTTTTATTAACGCTCTAAAGATGAAAAAGCTTTTTATGGCTGCTTTTACATCGGCAATTTAGGTGGAAATTATATTTTTCTGTTTTCAAAATTATGCACGGGGTATTGGATAAATATTTTGGTATCAGTTTCCTGAATTTTACATTAGAGAGTAGAGTTTGTGATAAATTGCAGAGTTGTTAAAATACTCAATTATTTAATGCACTGAACTTTATAATATATGCATGGAATAAATATTTTCATATCAGTATTTTTTACAACAACTTCTGTCATAAGAAAAACACACCATTATTATATTTATTAGTACACATATGTAACTCTAATCATATATAAACATGTTATGTAGGTATATATATCATAATAACAGCATAGACGTATTTAAAGCACTTGCGTCGAATTGCGTTACATAAACATAAAAATATCGTCGAAATAAAAACCTCTTTACTTTGTTAATCAGTTGAACATATGAAATATATGATTTTAACTAACTAATCCCACCTAGTTATTCTGGCACCTAATTAATCTACTCTATGGTGAGAACAAGTGCGGGCTGCTGCAATCTTCTTGTTATTAATTCCTGGCTATGAGGTTCAAAT